CTCGATCCGTTCGTCGCGGTGCACGGGTTCGAATCCCACTGTGGAACATGGAGACCTGTCCTTCGGATGATACCTCATAAACCGAGGTCTCGAGGTGCAAGAGGTGCTGGCACTAAAAAGATCCCTCACTGCTCAATGGCCCTGAGTACCAAGCATAGGACAAATTTGCAACTCTCTACCGGCAAGTGGTGGCGTCTCCATATGAGTGAAAAATTCTCCAGGTGCACATTGAACAACATAGTAGGTGCTAGCACGAAAAAGATCCCTTCCTGCTCAATAGACCTGTGTGCCAGTCTTACGTTTGTTTGTTTTTTTTACATGTTTCTCGAGAGAATTTTTCACTCATAAGGATCAAGTTGCCGGTGGAGAGCTGCAAATTTTGTTCTATACTCGGCACTTAGGGCCATTGAGCAATGAGGGGTCTTTCTCGTGCCAGCACCTACTGCGGTTTAAACGGTCTCATCTGAAGGACCGATCCCCAGGGCGAACCGGGTTCGAGCCTTTTGGGACATGGAGACCGTTCCTTTACAGGAAATTTCTTTATTAATGAAATAGTTACACGTGATGAAACCTGCATATAATTTATTAACCAGAAAGTAAGCAATAAAATTATTTTTGGAAGTATCCTTCCTCGTCATCATGTTGCCCGCGTGGCACAGTGGTTTGAGCGTCTGCTTGGGGTCGCAAAGAAAGGAGTTGATCCTTACGACGCGGGTTTGAATCCCACTGTGGGACGTGGATACCAGTCCTTCGGATGAAACCGTATAAACCAAGCTCCCTTGTCTCAGTAGGTGCTGGCACGAAAAAGATCCCTTCCTGCTCAATAAACCTGAGTGCCAAGTACAGGACAGAATTTGCATTTGCAGCTTTCCACCGGCAAGTGGTTGCGTCTCCATACGAGTGAAAAAAAATCTCGAGATGAACATTAAACAACATGCAATTAATCAATCCTCGCCATCAACATTGAAAGCACGTGTAACGAAAACAGCAGGGAATGTTATGCTATGTTGTTTTCTGTGACATCAACGAAATTACTAGTATTCTGAATCACATTGTACTACCCAAAACTGACTTCCGTAACTGGAGACTACTTGGCGCGGGTTATCAAATCAGATTTGATGAGAACAGTAAAGTGATAGCGTCAAGATCGTACAAATCTGGAGTCATTCATCGTCGCAAACCAAGGCCAAAATGCACGACTCTCTCGTATTCTGGCCGTGGTTGAATGAGAAGAGAATTTCTCGTAGTTCATTACAGTATTGACCAATGCGAGTAAAGCATAGTCGGATAATGAACTTTGATGTGACCTTTCAATACCCAATCGCAGTGTACAAAATATTTCTTGTATACTGCTTATGTAAATTGTTTTAAATTTCAATTGCGATGGAAACAAAACTTCTCATTGAATGAATATGACGTCACAATAGAGAGGTGTAAATATTCAAGATTACGACACTTTTTGTGATCAAGCAGCCACGGGTAGGAGAGAACTATATGCGGACTCCGGGCCATGGCTAGAGACGATGGGAGTCATTCTGCACAAGGATAACGCACCTAGCAATATATTTCGATACATATGACGTTTTCCAGGCTTTTTTTTTTTTTGGTACGATTTAAAAACCATACAAAAAAGCCTGGAAAACGTCAGATATATCGGACTACCAGCCAAGTAAATGTCGGGTTGTGATGGAAATCATAGAAACACTGGGTACAGAAAATCTAACTTATCCCATAACAGCCCAGATATGCATATAATCCCAGATATGGCAATTTGTGAACTCTGGCTATTTCCAGCTTTGAAAGATAACCGACGGGGAGAGAAATATGAGTACCGGTAAGATATTGGCACCAGTTGCCGGTGGATGGTTACAAATTTTGTCCTTTACTCGGCACTTGGGGCCATTGGGCAGGGAGGGATCTTTTTCATGTCAGCGCCTACTGCAACACGGGAGTCGGGAGCTCGGTTTATATGGTCTCATCCGAATGCCGGGTCTACACGTCCCACAGGTAAGGAAAAAGATTGAGATTGAGGCATAGCTGTTTAGGGTTGGTAAGAGGGTTCGTAGATTAATCTGAACATTATTTGTGATGAGTATATCCTCTCTGCTTGCAGAACAAAATGAGTTAATGTCATATTAATCTAGCAATTTCATTTTTCCAATTTGCTTTTGAAAATCTCAAGATTAATAATCCTTACTGTTTTTATCTAAAACGTATCAAACTAAGCAGTTTTTAGCTCTACTGGTCAGAGACCAGAAGAGCTTATGCGATAGTAATGCGTCCGGCGTCCGTCCGTCCGTCTGTCTGTCTGTAAACAATTTTTCAAAATGCTACTCAATATTTCAATATGACTTGGCACCCAAGTAGACTACACTAAGATACATAATTCTGTGCATCGGTTTTTGATTTCGATGAACGGTGTTGCCATGGTTACTAAAAATAAAAATTTCTGTGAAATTCTTTCAAAATGCTACTCCTTCTACAGTTTTGGCCTGATTTCAATATAACTTGGCACACAAGTATACTTTACTAAGATACATAATTCTCTGCATCGGTTTTTGCTTTGATGAGTGGCAAGGATCATTATACTATTTATTGCTGTTTTAAGGTTTCAAGTCACAACTGCTACTTTTCTCTTCCTTTGTTTTAAGTATAAACCAGTAGAGCTACAATCTCGACAGAGACTTCTGGTTAATGTTTTTGTTTTTCTATTTAACGTCCTCTCTCGTGAATTTTTCCATCATAAGGAGACTCAACCACTAATCTTGCCGGATGACAGCTGCAATTTTTCGACACTCAGGTCCATTGATCTTTTTCATGCCAGCACCTACTTAGACCAGGTACTCGGTTTAAACGGTCTCATCTCAAGAACCGGTCTCCCCTTACCCCAGTGGGATTCAAACCCCGCGACGTAAGGATCAAATCCTTACATCGCGAGAGCAGACGCTCTTAAACCCCTGCGCCATGCGGGCGAATGTAACTATAATAATCACAAAAGTTATGGCAAGTCTTTTGTCTTCATAAACCGTGTACAAATTATTATGAACTTCTACAAAGGAATTTCTAAGATATACGTTTAACTTCACAGCCGTTCGTTTCTCGAAGACGTCTGAGTCAACCATTTTTTGTCACGTGATCTACCTTATGACGTCATTTTCACATTGTGACATCACAAAACGTTCCATCACATATTCTTTTTATAGAACATGTATATGATTCTATGTGTGCCAAATTTCATTCTGATCTGAATTGCGGTTTTGTAAATATAGAGATAGTTCGCGAACTTTTTGATCATCCCTCGTATTGTACATAAAGTTCCTCAGAAATATTTCAAATTACATTTTTTTGTTCTTTTCCAAAATATTTTTGGAGAAACCCATCTCTCTTTAAATTTTATTTTTGTAGGAGAGTTCTTTTTATCAAGGGGATATAAATTCTGCTCGAGAGAGAGAGAGAGAGCTTTGTTCAAATATGATTACTTTCTCGATGAACAAAAAAATCGGAATTCATGTCACTCTATACTGTATACCACATGCAATTTGGTGACCATAAGGGTTCCATCTTTGCAAACCATTTGGTTGGTGTCCATTAAATTCCACAAGAGGCTGGCGCGATGATTTGCAGGATAACACAGGTGCAATAAAGCTTAAACAATTGTACAATATAAAAAGCATATAAATCACCAGCGTCTTTCTGATTGTCAATTTTGTCGCCGGCGTGGCACTTGGGACCATTGAGCAGTGATGGATCTTTTTCGTGCCAGCACCTACTTCGACACGGGACCTTGGTGTATATGGTTTCATCCGAAGGACCGATCTTACGTCCCGCCGTGGGATTCAAACGGGTGTCGTAAGGATCGACGCTTTACTTCGCGACTCTAGAACAGACGCTCTAACCACTGCGCCACCGGGCGACCGTTAAACAGGACCACCAAGGATCTGATTTTTAATCAGATTGATTTGGGAATATATTGATTTGCACTGTCCGTTTGCCTATCTGTGTCTAGCTGTGTGTCTGCTTATCCACAAAAAGAAAATTTCCCTTGCCCTTTAACATTGACTTGGTTGTAGATATGGCCTTTATAATTCACATGTGCATTCCTTAATTGTGACAAGACATTTCTTTTGGGTATCAACATACTTGACCTTAGAGTTTGCCACACTTTTACTATAGATTGCGTGATGTTTTACATTACATCACGATCTAGTTTGACAGCTGCGCTCAAGGTAAATAGTGCACGTCTCCTAACCGCAAGCTTTACGACTGGAATTTCTTCTAATCGCTGATTGGTTGCTCGTACAACAGACTATTTCTCTGTCAATGTTGATAATATGAGTTGACCAATGACGTGAATTCTTTACGCTGGATGCATCTGTCGAAGGAGATCGTGACGTAATGCAAAACTTCACACGGAACTGAAATTAATAGTATAACAGACCTTAAAGTTTTGCTTTGCATTTGAAAAACTTCCACCTCCGCCATAAGCTGCTAAATACGGTGGCATCAGTGTTTCACAAACAAATCTTGTTAACCTAAAAGTACAGCTTAATACTAAAACGTGTACATATCAGTCACGTTTGGCATCGTTTCTGAAAGTAGAGGACGGGGGAGTCGACAGATAAAATATTGATAACTTGCCAGAAAAATCGTTGACAACTTAAAAAAAGGTTAATTGTCCAAAAATCGAAAGTCTTCTCTTGTGTCCAGGGGTTGTGGGTGGTAAGATTTTTCCACAAAAAATCTTATATACATTAATATGTATTCATCAGACAATTTTATTTTGCTGCAACAAAAAATTAGAGGGGAAGGCAACTTCCCTTTCAAAACATTTTCAAGGGCAAGAGTAAAAGGTTACGTAAAGGGAAAAGTGGGTGGAGACAATCCCTTACCTGTCATTATACGTGCTTCCAGGTTTTTTATTCAGTTGTTCCATCTGTAAGAAATATGTATATGTTCAATTTTAAAAAAAAAAATCTGCATGTTTATTTTTGACGATTTAGGGTCCGAGGAGAACGCCATGACGACCTGTCCTACGCCATTACTGGGTTCTTTTACCTACACTTATTACGACAGTTCTACGTCATGTGGGGCGAACTCGGAGTGGGACGGATGTACAGATACCTCACGTATCACACTCAACTACACGCTTTGTAGCAGGGTCGTAGCTTACTCGGGTACGTCACGTGGTTTCAAAAAAAGGTTGAAAGAACTATTAATTGAACATTTTTTTCCAATATTAACAACATCAAAATGTATGACTTTAAATTTTATAGTATAAAGGTATTCCCCTAGACATCAATTGAATGAAAAGTGGACGTTTTCATATCTTGGTAGAAGTCTTCTATGAAACAAAATCACATTGATATTTAAAATAATACTTTGATTTTTAAAACAAAGTACATACACAATCTGAGTTTTTGAATACAATGTATTTAACATTCATTTTGGATATCCATGGGCACAATTTGTACTTCAGAACAATCCGATCTGTTTTTGTAAATTTATGAAGCAGATTTTATTTATCAGCTCTACATAAGATGAAAAATTATGCTATATTACACCTGTGAAAGAAAATTGATTTATGTTGCATGGATTTGTTTCTAATAGGCTAAATATCCAATAAAATAAGGTTCCAAAGTATTTCACTTTATTTTTTGAAAATATTTAAAATATTTAATTCATTTTGTTAAACCCTCTTAATTCTCTATTTTTTAACGCATAAGTACGCCATGTTTGTGACGTTGTAGAGAGCCCCCTTAAAATAAACAACGTTTTATTAAATGATCGCTGTCATGCTTTTCATTGTTACAGCTGGAGGTAAGCTTGGATGTGTAGTAAAAATCCAATCCGGAACTAATTACTATGTAGGGTTGTATAACTTTGATTCAACAGTAGATGGTGCAGCAACCAGAAGATACACCTGTCTGGTAATTATACTTTGAAAATCATGTTAATTGATGTGAAATATAATTGACTTAATTTCATTCAATTCCTTTTTTTTTTTAACTTTGTATACAAAAAAATGCAATCCCATGGTTATTTTCACTATCAAATGCAGGCTTTGTCTTCCGGAACTTACGTCAATGTCTCTCAGTCACCTGACCACTGCCAAACGTCACAATCCGCCAGCGTGTTACCGACATCGGGAGCATTACTTAGTTTGTCACAAACAGGTAAAATATGCAAAATGCGGCACTTGACAAGTTTAGTGCACATACTGTTTCAAGATTTCTGTGGAGAATACATGGTGACATCTCTAAATGAGTGAAATATTCTCGAATGGGACTTAACACGACATGCAATAACTCAATCCAAAACAGCACATATCTTGCAAATCATCTTTGAAACACTATTGATAGGTTGTTTTTATTTTCAATGCAACTTATTCAACGCTAAATTCGCGTTTCTTTTTTTTCTTCTTATTGATTATGTAAATGATTTAAGTTTTGTTTTCCTTGTATTTTCAGTTTCCTGTGGTAAGTAAACTATATTCATATTATACTGTCAACAAATTTTTATTCGCGTGCGAGAAATTTCGCGAGAGCCTCGTCCTCGCGAGTTTTTCTCGCCGCGAACCGATCCGAAAAGCTCCGTGTTTACAAATAACAGATCCAAAAAGGGCTTGATCGCGAAAATTAATCGTCGGGAACGAGTTTACGCCCGGTTAATCGCGAAGTAAAGTCGTCGCGAATAAAAGTTTACAGTAATTCACATACAAGGGGAATTTCAAAAGTTATGAGAACGGTGAGTGGTAAATTAATGAACAGCAATATCATAAATTAAATTATATCAAACAGTCAAAATTGTCTCCCTTGACCTTGACACACTTTTTAGTCTTGAAATCCACATGGAAAATGCCGTCGTTTAGTCCTCTTTTGATATACCCTTCATACTCATGCTCAATAACCTGAGAAAAAAAAATTTCTACATAAAATTGACCAGTAACACTGCTGTGTTCTGGAACCGGAACCTGAGTAACAGGAACTTTGGAATCAAGAATAAGGCGTACATTACTCTTCAGAGAGTCCAGTTTCTGCGTGCAATTTGAGACCTTTTGTCATTTTCACCGATCCAAACTTTATTATTGAGCTAGTTCAAAAAAATATAGCCATGTTTCATCACCAGTTACAATCTCCTTTATTCGCATCTGGTCACAATCTTCATAAACTATTAGTAAGGATGAAGCCATTGCTACCCGGATGTGTCTTGCTCTTCCGAAAAGCAGACTTTTCTAAGCTTTAAATTTTCATTTAGAATACGGAAACTGCTGATGAAATAATGCTAGTTAAGTCTGCTATTTCCTCAACTGTATATCTAGCATCATAAGCAATTGCATTTTGAACAGCGACGATTTCTTTTTCGCCATTTGCACAAACTGGTCGCTCCGAAGGGGAGTCATCTTCAATAGACCAATCCACACTTTACAAAAGTTGTGTCCCTTTGCGGGGTCAAGCAAAAGGGAAAGAAATGCCATTTTCCTTCATATGCTACCAAAGATTTGGGCGTGCTTCCATAAATCCACCGTGATTAATTTTTTCTTTTGATGTATGGGTAGCCCCATCCTAGGGCAATCAATAAACAAGATGCACAGATTTTTTTTCAGTCAAATAAGGAAGTTAAAACCAGAAAACTACAAAGGTTACTGTGAGGATTCCACACAGAGTTCCTCGGATGCCTCGCACATAACATGGAGCGTAGCGGAGTCAGCTGAGGATTGCCATTTTTGTGAGCATTCTATGGGTTTTTCCCCAAAGATGGCGGCCAAAGGACATAACTTTAGAAAAGTGTGGAATTCAGCTATTGACTTTAATGATTAAAATAAGTGAATAACAAGTACCACTCGTAATTACTGAATGACTCATATAGTAAAACTCGTTAAGTACGAACACGGATATTGCGAATTCATGGATATAGCGAAGTCGTCTTGGATCCCCAGCTATATAAATTAATGAATTTCATATACGGTTTTAACGAATTACGGATATGGCGAACTTATTTCATAGGTCCCAGCGACTTCGTAATAACCGAGTTTTGGTGTACCTATCCGATCGAGTCTATAATCAAATTTTAAAAGAAAATGTTTATTGAAAACTTATTTAACTGTTTCTTGAATTCGCGGATTTTTTAACACCGTAAATATAGCGAATGTTTACACTGTGTGTTATTTCCCCCTTTACAGTACCAGTTCTCAGAACTTTTGAAATGTTCCTCGTACCAGTATCAAGCATAAACTATAAAGAAATACATTACAAGAAATGGAACAAATTAGAAACTGATTTAGAGAACACTCTCAAGAGCCCTCAAGTTGGTAAGATTTAATTCCCTGTTTAATTCTATTTTCCGCAGCTCCAACTTCTTTAGCCGAGGATGACGATACGTTAGCAATTGTTTTGTCTGTCCTGGCCGTTCTGTTTGTTATCTACGTGATCGTGGTTGTATCCCTGTATTGTTATAGGCGAACCTACTGGAAGAAAAGGATGGAGAGGAAACCTTTAATTAGTAAGTAACAGGGAATTGTTATTGTGGTAATTCCTTGTCGCTTTCATTGGTACACATCCAACCCCTAGTGAAACAAGCTAATTCAGAGAATTCGTGTCCCCCGCTTAGGGAAAAAGTCGGATCCCCCTGACTGAATTTGTAGAATTATTAAATGTATACATGTATACTGAAGGAAATAAAATACATGTATGTCAATATGCATATAAAGATTTGATTGCTTATTCTTTATTATGTGTATAGAAGATTTTTTTATATGGAATATTTATCACACTGTAATGATGATTTTATAACCTCATAAATTTTTCATTTCACATGCTGAATACTATCATTTAGTAAAAAAAAAAATTTAAAAAAAAAAAAGTTTATTGAAAACCTCTCACATTTGAACTGAGACATAACCACCAGACCACGAAGTCACTGTATATGGAGTGAAGTATATGCAGAACTGAAGTCACATACATGTATATATTCATGTTTTCATGTTCGGTATTCTCAAAATTTTACACAATCCATGGTGTTTGATTTATTTAGCCTTTATTAAACAGTTATAATAGATGAAATAAGAACATAAAGTCCGCCGAGAACCTTTTTATACGCAATAACTCTCCTCATGCCCCTGCGCTAAAAATAGCGACATGTAATACTATAAATACTAATAAAACAAACGGGGTGGGGCACTTTGAGAGGTGTGAGAGAAGTCCTATGGAGTTTTGGTATAAAATTACATTGCATAAGCTCAAAATCTTCTTGAAATTCTGATAGTGTTACACACAGACAGAATGTATAAATTTACGACCTTGAACTTTGATCTTTTGACCTCAAAATCAATAGGGGTCTTCTTTAGGCCACAGGGAGTTGTTATGTAAAATTTCATTGCGATAGCTCAAATGGTTCTAGAGATATCGTGTGGAAACGAAAGTGTTTTAACAGACAGAATTTGCTTATTTATGACCTTGACCTTTGACCTTTTGACCTCAAAATCAATAGGGGTCTTCTTTAGTCCATAGGGAGTTGCTATGCTAAATTTCATTGCAAAAGCTCAAAGGGTTCTCGAGATATCGTGTGGAAACGAAAGCGTTACAGACAGACAGAAAGACGGACGGACGGACAAACCCAAATTAATATCCCCCACTTTTCAAGCGGGGGACAACAAAGATATCAGGTTTGTAAGAATTATTAGCTTTTTTCAAACCTCAAATAGGCAGAAATGGAGAATTAACATTAATATTATAGAAACAATAAAGTTAATCAAGTAATGAGTTTTACTTGAGAACAACATAATTATGAGCAAACAGGAATATAGCTTTGATGACGATGAACATTCCTTTCCAGTTCCAAAAGAGCTGCCGACTGGTGGACATGAACTTCTAGCCGAGTCTGAGACGACAACGGATGTTAACGCCGCCATTAAGCGGGAGGGAACTCATATCTCCGTTCTAGATGGTGGAGGACAACCACAAACAAGACTGATGGAAGACAGAATGAATAACATCGTGCCTATACCTAATGCCAATGTTCGTCCTCTATCTAGGTTTTATATCAGTAAGAAGGTTCCGAGAATCGATAAACTTCAAAGCTATCGCCACAAAGAAATGCATAAAGTTTCTCAAGTCTTCAGTCGCAACAGTAGCCAACATTCTCTTTATCGTCCGACGGTAGCCAGCAGACAATCTTCCATGCCTCGATCTAGGACCTTACATCGAGGTTCTACACAAACATTGACAGACGGTAGTCTTTATTCGGGGACGCTTCCCTCCATGAGGAGTTCATCTAGTGTGAGACTATCCATTTACAGTTTATCCAGCAAACAAGACGCCAAGTCCTTAGCGTCGTCTGGTTTTGGAAGTGATGATGGCAGAACTATATTCCCGGAGCCAGAGATTACGGATAGGAATAAGACATTGTCTAGGGCCAGCAGATCAACGTACAACAAGGTGCGCCCTGTGTCACATGGTCAAAATACTGAACCACAAGTGCCTAGTTTGTACAATTTTGTGATGGCTGAAGGATAGTTTATTATAGTTTATCATTTAAAAATAATAAGTGTAGAATAATATTCGTTATTATATTGTATGTACATAAGATTTTGGCGTTTCTGCAAATCATCATGCAAGCCAATCCCTTGATCACATCATGAAACAAAACATTAAACATTTACTAGTATATTTTTGTAATAAAACATAATTATACAAGATGACTGTCCATCCAAAAACAAATCTAGACAACAGTAGAAATAACCAAATATGGCATATTTAGTGCTGTACTGTGTATTACAATAACTTTTAATAAATTAAAATAATAAACATACAAAATAATTGGTAAAAAAAACAATAGCTAAAGCTTAAAATCGTAAATGAAACCAGTTTTATGTCTTACAATGGGTGCCTCGTTGATTTTGAGGGCAACCTTTTTGATTAGAGGTATAGCCCTTACATCTATATGTTCAAACATTTTGATCAGGAACTTGTAGTCCCCCACAGAAAGCATGCCATTCTTCTCTAAGTAAATAAAGTCCCTCCTAATTGTGGTGTACTCGTGCCGGGTAAATCGGCAGTGTCTCGTGAGATAGTTCTTCCATCGCCGGAAGTTCTGCCCACCATTCATACTTCCGGCTAAATAGGCTGTTGTTAGCGTCTCCTTCAAGTTGTTATGGAGGTCGAGTTTGGTATTTTTGCAGAGATGAGACCTGAAATACATGCAAGGGAATGAATCGTTCGGATTAAGCCTGCTTTTGTTTGGTTGCCGGCGTTGCGAGTGGTAAAATTGGAGTGTTTACTCGAGAGTCGCGGTGGAAGGAGTTGTTCTTTGCATTGCGGGTTCAAATCCAACTGCATGCGGGAAGTGGGGACTGTTCCTTCGGATGAGACCGTAAAATCCAAGGTCCATTGACCTTGTAAATGCTCGCAACAAAAGATTCCTCACTGTTCAAGGTCTCAGAGTGCCGAGTACAGGTCTAAATTTCGCATCTATCGACAAGTGGTGGCGTCTCACTATGAGTGATAAATTCTCGAAATAGACGATGAACAAAGAAACAAAAAGTTTATATAAGATAGTTTTATGAGCAAAATATTACGAAATAGCAACGCGCCGTTATTGTAGAATGATATTCTGATATATTTATGATATCAAAGTCATTCCAGGATTTATTTCACTCTGAAAGGGAAGTGTACATGTCTTTCGAAATAAATGGGATGGATGTTAAAATTTTGCTATATTATCGATTAAGGGACAAAATCCGCCACTTCCTGATATCTGAGTACTAAAGAGGTTGTTTTTGGCTGTGGAGGATAAACAGATAAATGTACCTTAATCTTCAAACACACATATTTAATGACAATCGGGATAAATTTACATCGATTTGTATAAGGACGGGGATTTTTAAAGTTAAGACGTCAAGCAGGCATTTATCAACTAATCGATAAGTCTCTTCAAAACATCCAACTACAAATCTTTTTATTCAGATATACCGGTATTGTACGGAAATTTAGCAAACGGCTTTCCATCTCGGATATTTAAATGAACTTCAAATTAAAGATTTTGCTGAATCTGCTTAATGTCTTCAATCAAAGAAAAATAATTTCAGTCAAATTCATTTTAGAAATGATATACCGGTACATCTGTACAATGTTTACAAAATAGGGCATGCAAGTGTCTGTCTTGTCGGACACCCATCTACTCATTCATATGGTTCTCTTAGACTCTTTTTCGTGCCAGCACCTACTACAACACAGGACCTCGGTTTTATACGTTCTCATCCGAAGGACCGGTCTCCACGCCCCACAGTGTGATTCGAACCCGAGACGTAATTCAATAATTCAACTCCTTAATTTACTCAGCGACTCTAGAGCAGATGCTCTTTCCACTGCGCCACGCGGGCAACTCACATAAATTGTAATTGCTGTATAAGATTATCCCTTATTGATTTTATTTATTTTTTGGTCAAAATATTCCATCAGAAGAAAAAACAAGAAGTTTCAAATTTTTATGGTTCAAATAATTTCTCAATTTATAGGAATTTTAAATAGAATTTCTTTATAAATGTGTTTCTATAAAAATGAAAATGAAATGGGGTTCTTTCTTGATAATTAAGGTACCGGTGTATAAAATGTTTCACACATTTAGACTTTTACAGCTCTGAAGGAGAGGTTACTAGTGAGAAAAAATATGACATTGAAGTGAAATCAGAAACCAGGGACAAAGACTGTTTATGTCACCTTAACCACTCAGGTGACCTATTGCTATGTGTTAATGTCACCTTAAACATTCAAAAGAACTATTACTATCTGTTTATGTCACCTTAAACATTCAGGAGAACTATTGTTATCTGTTTATGTCACCTTAAACATTCAGGAGACCTATTGTTATCTGTTTATGTCACCTTAAACATTCAGGAAAACTATTGCTATCTGTTTATGTCACCTTAAACATTCAGGAAAACTATTGTTATCTGTTTATGTCACCTACAACATTCAGGAGACCTATTGTTATCTGTTTATGTCACCTACAGCATTCAGGAAAACTATTGCTATCTATTTATGTCACCTTAAACATTCAGGAGAACTATTGCTATCTCTTTATGTCACCTTAAACATTCAGGAGAACTATTGCTATCTGTTTATGTCACCTTAAACATTCAGGAGAACTATTGCTATCTGTTTATGTCACCTTAAACATTCAGGAGAACTATTGCTATCTGTTTATGTCACCTTAAACATTCAGGAGAACTATTGCTATCTGTTTATGTCACCTTAAACATTCAGGAGAGATATTGCCATCTGTTAATGTCACCTTAAACATTCAGGAGAACTATTGCTATCTGTTTATGTCACCTAAAACATTCAGGAGAACTATTGCTATCTGTTAATGTCACCTTAAACATTCAGGAAAACTATTGCTATCATTTATGTCAAATTAAACATTCAGGAGAACTATTGCTATCTGTTTATGTCACCTTAAACATTCAGGAGAACTATTGCTATCTGTTAATGTCACTTTAAACATTCTGGAAAACTTTTACTATCTGTTAATGTCACCTTAAACATTCAGGAGAGTTATTGCTATCTGTTTATGTCACCTTAAACATTCAGGATAACTATTGCTATCTATTTAGAGTGGTGACCTATTGCTATCTGTTAATGTCACCTTAAACATTCAGGAGAGTTATTGCTATCTGTTTATGTCACCTTAAACATTCAGGAGAACTATTGCTATCTGTTTATGTCACCTTAAAAATTCAGGAGAACTATTGCTATCTGTTAATGTCACTTTAAACATTCTGGAAAACTATTACTATCTGTTAATGTCACCTTAAACATTCATTATTGCTATCTGTTTATGTCACCTTAAACATTCAGGAAAACTATTGCTATCTGTTTAGAGTGGTGACCTATTGCTATCTGTTAATGTCACCTTAAACATTCAGGAGAACTATTGCTATCTGTTTATGTCACCTACAACATTCAGGAGAACTATTGCTATTTGTTAATGTCACCTTAAACATTCAGGAGAGTTATTGCTATCTGTTAATGTCACCTACAACATTCAGGAGAGTTATTGCTATCTGTTTATGTCACCTTAAACATTCAGGAGAACTATTGCTATCTGTTTATGTCACCTTAAACATTCAGGAGAGTTATTGCTATCTGTTTATGTCACCTACAACATTCAGGAGAACTATTGCCATCTGTTTATGTCACCTACAACATTAAGGAGAGTTATTGCTATCTGTTTATGTCACCTTAAACATTCAGGAGAGTTATTGCTATCTGTTTATGTCACCTTAAACATTCAGGAGAGTTATTGCTATCTGTTTATGTCACCTTAAACATTCAGGAGAGTTATTGCTATCTGTTTATATCACCTTAAACATTCAGGAGAGTTATTGCTATCTGTTTATGTCACCTTAAACATTCAGGAGAACTATTGCTATCTGTTAATGTCACCTTAAACATTCAGGAGAGTTATTGCTATCTGTTTATGTCACCTTAAACATTCAGGAGAATTATTACTATCTGTTAATGTCACCTTAAACATTCAGGAGAGTTATTGCTTTCTGTTAATGTCACCTTAAACATTCAGGAGAGTTATTGCTATCTGTTTATGTCACCTTAAACATTCAGGAGAACTATTGCTATCTGTTTATGTCACCTACAACATTCAGGAGACCTATTGTTATCTGTTTATGTCACCTACAGCATTCAGGAAAACTATTGCTATCTATTTATGTCACCTTAAACATTCAGGAGAACTATTGCTATCTCTTTATGTCACCTTAAACATTCAGGAGAACTATTGCTATCTGTTTATGTCACCTTAAACATTCAGGAGAACTATTGCTATCTGTTTATGTCACCTTAAACATTCAGGAGAACTATTGCTATCTGTTTATGTCACCTTAAACATTAAGGAGAACTATTGCTATCTGTTTATGTCACCTTAAACATTCAGGAGAGATATTGCCATCTGTTAATGTCACCTTAAACATTCAGGAGAACTATTGCTATCTGTTTATGTCACCTAAAACATTCAGGAGAACTATTGCTATCTGTTAATGTCACCTTAAACATTCAGGAAAACTATTGCTATCATTTATGTCAAATTAAACATTCAGGAGAACTATTGCTATCTGTTTATGTCACCTTAAACATTCAGGAGAACTATTGCTATCTGTTAATGTCACTTTAAACATTCTGGAAAACTTTTACTATCTGTTAATGTCACCTTAAACATTCAGGAGAGTTATTGCTATCTGTTTATGTCACCTTAAACATTCAGGATAACTATTGCTATCTATTTAGAGTGGTGACCTATTGCTATCTGTTAATGTCACCTTAAACATTCAGGAGAGTTATTGCTATCTGTTTATGTCACCTTAAACATTCAGGAGAACTATTGCTATCTGTTTATGTCACCTTAAAAATTCAGGAGAACTATTGCTATCTGTTAATGTCACTTTAAACATTCTGGAAAACTATTATTATCTGTTAATGTCACCTTAAACATTCAGGAGAGTTATTGCTATCTGTTTATGTCACCTTAAACATTCAGGAAAACTATTGCTATCTGTTTAGAGTGGTGACCTATTGCTATCTGTTAATGTCCCCTTAAACATTCAGGAGAACTATTGCTATCTGTTTATGTCACCTACAACATTCAGGAGAACTATTGCTATCTGTTAATGTCACCTTAAACATTCAGGAGAGTTATTGCTATCTGTTTATGTCACCTACAAC